AGAAATTGCGGGGAACTCTGCAAAAAACGCATCTTCGCACGGGCAGCCCGTGCGTTGGCCAATTTTATACTGTTGAGATAGTCACTAGCCGAGCGCAACTAATTCTGATCCATCGCTCTGAATAGCCTTTTTCCATTTCGCACTACACTGCTCGAACACCTTTTGTTCATCGGTCAAATCAATCCATTTCTCCCCCTTTCTGCGTGTGGTTAACTTTGGAGGTAGAAAGGAGATTCACCTAAATAAAACCGTAATACTTTACGAGAAGTGTGCAGGATGTGTAACAGGTGAGCACCCAAGCGCATTAAAAGGCACAGTATCGAATTCAGTCCTAAAATCTCAAACTCAAATGTAGTGATGCAATGTTGATTCGATTAAGAGAACAAAAAAGCGAAGCATTTCTGGCGAATGAATACGGATACAGTGTAATTCTCCTATTTTTTGGGAGAAGCTGTGTGCAAGTTCAATACAGAAAAATTATAAAGTAATATCGTTCCTACCTGCCCATTTCAGTGGTTCTCCACACTTGCCAAATGATCTTTTGTACGGATACTGGCGGCACAGTATGCAGGTGAACAAAAGCTTTTCGCTGAACCATAATCTCATGCTTCCCTGCTGCACAACTGCTCATATCTTTTTTGAAAAAAAATTTCGATGTCGATCCGAAAGCACTCCAATTACCTTAATGAAAAACTCGGATGAATTTCGACGAAAAAGCATATTCAGCCTTCACGGTGAACTGAAACACTCCTAAACCTCACAGTTTCTATAGCTCGCTGCACATTGAAATTCCATGATCGCTCTAAATTCAGATCATCAGTTACTAGCTATCCCGAGCATGGTTCGGAACTTCATCACATTATACTTCCATTAGCTGCCAGACCATAACATCGTCCTCCAACTATGGAGCTAGCAATTTTTCCCAGTTGCTTTGGCTAGTGCTGCATTGCTTGGTGGTCAACCTGGCGATTCAGGTGTACATTTCGTTGGGATTACCAGCTCAACAGTTCTCACGACAGAAGCACTTTGGCGATATTTTAGTCGTCTCAAGACGCCACTGGTGTGTGCTGAGCATCACCGGCTGCCTCGAACACTGTCACTCACAGTTCGTGACGACGCTCCTACCCTACCAACCAAGGGAAATGAAAAGTGTATCTGAAGGTAAATAAATGAAGTACTACATCGGTAATTTATCGATCTTTAAATGAAAGAAGAGACAGTAATAGCGAAAGTTTCAAACTATGCATACAATCCAAGCTGCTGAGACTACTTTCACACACTGCTGTTAGGCGCCATTAACTTGTGTACAACGTTAGCGACTTCGATTTTGCTCTTATAGATTTTGATATAATTTTCATCCGTGCTGCAGGAATTCTTAGATTATGTCTAAAAGTGTACAGCTGAAAATAGGGCAGAAGAAAGCTTTTCCAACAGCAGAACGAGAAGTCGCAACGAACGACATTTGCTTCTGTGATATCTCTCGATAGCTTTATTTTTGCAAGTTTGTACCGCCTATTCTGAAGAGTCACTATAAGCCTGTCTATTGACCACTTTCCCCTAATCAGCAGCATTAAATACGTACTCTTCCATTCAGTGAATGATGACTGTTAGTACTTCACCCATCATACTGTTATCGGGCAAAAAATCGAACCCGGAATAACAGAAATCAGCCCATTACATAAGGAGTAAAATTGAAAACCAAATGTTATTTGGGTTCTAAAAACTCCTTTAAGTTTATAATCGAAGTGGTGAAAAATGAAAGTAAAGATCAGAGGCAAATTCCAACCTAAACCGTCATCAAGAATTTCAGCAAGATTGAAAGTCGACAAGTCCACAATAAATGAAAATGATGCCGAAAGCCCGATGAGCCGCACAGTTGGTGGCTTTTCACAGACAAACAATCCCAATCTAAAATTCGATATGTGAGGAGAGAGTGAGAGATATGACTCAATAACTTTCCCAAGTTTTTTAAATGAGCCGGTAAAAATGAGAGTAAAAAAGAACAATTTTGCATAAACGAGGGAAGCCATTCATTACCAATGGTACTGCTACGTGCCTGGACTGAGATGTGCTGGACCAGGTGAAAATTGATTAAACAAGTAGGCACACCATCTCAGAGAAGGAAACACCAAAAGTTAACTTCATGAGTCGACTGACTGATGAGAATTGTGAATCGAATGAGTAAGCGGCCGATACATCAAGCCAGAACACTAAAACTGGTCTCTTTTCATGTTCCGATGCGCAAAAAGTAACGGAGACTGTGCAGTTGAAAACGTTGTTTTCGTGTTCATACAGAAAAAAAGGTGCTTAACGAGGGTTGGATAAGCAGGAAGCAACTGGCGGTGGCTGCTACGAGTTTTTATGCGTTTTTTTGCTTCTATGCAATGCAAAAATGGATACCGCCGGAGGGTTTTTCTGTGTATGTGTGTCTGTGTGTTCGCCTGCGCCTATTTTCCATCTCGAAACTTACAAAAGCTACAAGACTGAAACTTTAGGAACTTAATCTACAGGCACACTCGGGCCCTGATCCCCAAAATGGGCGCTCCGATCCAAGTGGTTTCCAAGTACGGGCCCGTAAAAGTTTTTTGCGGATAAGTTGCTAACTCGAGAACCTGAAAAACCAGAGAGCTGAAATTTTAAGGGGATGTTTTCCGCTAACGCATATCTTAATGAGCTCAAACCCAGCCCCAAGGCATAAGTGGTTCTCATGCACGGGCCGGCGAAAATTTTTAGCAAGTGACTAACTCGGGAACCTGAAAAGGCAGCAGGCTGAAATTTTTAAAAGGATTTTCCTGGTTCATGTAGAACCTAGTGACTTCAAGCTCTGCTCTTAATTGTGTGCGGTTCTCACGTACAGGCCGATGAAAATTTTTGCGGGCAAGTTGCTAACTCGAGAACCAGAAAAGCTAGAAAGCAGAAATTTTAAGGGGACGTTCTCTGACAGTCCTGGTGGCCAATTTCAGTACTCTTAGCAAAAGACCTGCTGGAAAAACAGTGCCGTTAGCGACAAAAACCAGGGGGAACTACATAAAAAACGCATCTTCGCACCGGCAGTCGTGGGCAGGCCAATTCTTTCTTTTTGCAGTCTATTCCAATTTGGTACGCTACATAACCCCACCAAGAACAACCCACTTGCCACATCATGTACAACAATGACGCACCGTGCCTTCTCGGCCATAATCACCAGAATGCAAATTCCAACAGAAAAGAGGCTTAGGCCTGCGTCAGAATTATACAGATAAAGTTACGATGAAGTACACGATATGTATAGCATCAAAGAATAAGAGAAGCACGAACGGTCCGGGTCGCAGCAACATTGAAATGGGCACGTCCACTACTGCATTGATAAACTTGGCACGAAAAACCGGCGAGTCCGTCATCTCGGCGATGGCCATATCTTGCTCACTGTAATATAAATTACAGATTTTTTCATGCCTAATTTGTGTGCTTGTGCGGCAAATAAGTGCTGCTGACGGAGCTTATAAATGCGAGCACAAAACGATCGGAGCTAGCGGAACTACATATAATCAGCTGCTCTGCGAATAATTTATGGACAGAAAAGCAACAGTTGCGGCACACACAAGGGTTACTTGTGCAACCGCGCATTTTTGTGCTCAGCTAAAGTGGCTCCTTATTTGATAAATGACAGTTTTGCTTTATGAGTTGCTCATAACAAAGGAATGGCCAAGGATCGCGCTACGAAAAATTCGAACATTTAAGATTGCTTGGCTGAAAAATTTTGCCTCTTCAAATCTCAAGAGCAGGCGCAAATTAAAGCTGCACACAGATTTTCAGAACTGCACATGAGCAAGAAACGCCCTTAAGACTTCAGCTTCCCAGTTTTTCTGGCTCCCGAACTAGCATTTCCTGGCAAAACTCCTATGTGCCCATGCGTGAAAACAGCGTACACTTAGGAACTGAATCTCAAATGCTCAGACCACACACAAGCAGAGGAAATAGCCTTAAAATTTCAACTCCATAGCTTCTCCGGTTTCCGAGTTTGCAGTTTTCCCGCCAAAGCTTTCAGAGGCCTGTGAGATGCAGAAGTGCATGAAAGTTAATATCAAGCTTCTGGGGAGCAAACACACTGACAAAACTTCAGCACCTGCGCATGCAAGACTGTCAACTCAAAACACTTAAACAGATGAAGACGCAAAATACGGATAGAATTGTCATGATATGTACGTTTTCTGGCGCAACAGTGCTACACGAAAAAAAAAAATTGGCCAACGCACAGGCTGCCGTGCGAAGGTGCGTTTTTTGCAGAGTTCCCCGCAGTTCTTGTCGCTACCGGCATCGGTC